CTGAAGAGATGTTCTAATATCCGCCTAAGAGTTCCCATTGCCGGAATCACTGCCATAGAATCTAATTCGTGCGAAAATATCATCTCACTGTCCGCCTACTCCGTTTATATAAGGTTGTGGCTCCACTGCTGATCGGCATCTTCATAGTTTTCTGATCGATCGCCGTGCTGTTATGCCCCTTGCGGCTAGAAGCAAGTTCAGATAGCAGGCATTTCCCTAGTCTGTCACAGTTCCCAAACAGCCGGTGCAGCCTTTGACAATCCGAGCGACAACCGAGCTAATATGATGTTCGATAATGGCAATAACATAAAGGGCAATTGGCTGAGCTTTAAGGGAGAACTCCTCACGGTCTCCACGCCTAAATCAGATTATAACTTAATATATTGCTATAAGTCGTAACTTTAATCGACACAATCAACTATTTCTTCGTAATACAAAAGTCTGATCATCGGCTTTCACTTACGACCATCTTTTACTAATGGTTACATCCTAATACATTTAAGACGCTTTGCGACAACAGGATATGCAGCTTTCAATTATAACCGAAAACACTTTGGGAATAGTACAGTAACTGATAACCATTTGCAAGTTATAATTAGGACCTGTCCGTTAATGCGAATATTTAGTCCAGTGTAGGAATTGTTTGGTTCCTTAAACAAGAATACGAAAAAGTCTTATTTTATGGATTTCTCACGCCTACAAGAATAAAGTAAAATTTTAAATAACCACCAGTAGGAATAAAATAAATATTTATGATGGAAAGTAAAAAATAGGCAAAGCAAATATGCTCTAGATGAATGGGTTAACCGAAATGTTGCAGCCGAATCACTCGCTACACAATGGTCTAAAAGGTTCTCTTAGTGTCTTCAAGGACTGAATTACCAAGAAAAGGGCCAAACGTTTTTAGTTAGCGAATGTATCGATGGAAGAAGAAAGCGCTATCCTGTTCGCATAAAAGAAATACATTTCTTCATCCTTATCTTCCATGACAGCCACTCCTTTCGGGAAGCGGAAGCACACGCGTCAGACAGTGCTTCCAACGTTTCCGATCCTGTGCCAAAGACTAAGCTTCAGCAGAAGATAATTGAAACCTGGAGCAGACTCCTTTCATATATTTGTACCAAGTTAATCTTGGCCATCCTTTGGGCCTTCTGCCCGCCAGTTGGGCAACAAATTGTTGCTTTGCCTTCCTTTCTGAACGCATTAGCAACACATGTTAAACTCATCGTAGCTGTGACCTGTGACTTCTCAAACTGAAAAGCAGCAGCTATACACCAAAGCTTTCGTGGATGTCTTCATTTCGAACCATGTCAAGACGCGTAAGACCAGTGACTTTTTCAATTTCAGCCGTCTGCACACGAATTCGTTCTTCGGTAATGGTCAATCACTCATAACCGTAAATAGGCATGGGGATAAAGACTGACTTCAATACCGAGAGCATAGTCTTCAGACTCAGCACTATTTAAGTGACAATGGTTCGCACTACTTCATGCAGAACGCCATTGGCTGCTCAAATTTTCCGGTCGATCACTTCCTCACCCAGAGATTCTTGAACTTCTCCACCTGCTCTATTGCCTCTCCATTAATCTGACGAGAGTAGCAGGTAGGCGAAAGAGGAACCACTAAGCTTTTCCTTTTTGATGCGTTCACACCCATGCCAGCCACATCACACTCGGCTGCGAACCATTCCATAGAGCACTGTAGATCAGTTTCAATAGATACCAATAAAATAAGGTTGTCTGCAAACAGCAACCTTTTCGTCACCACATCTCCTACACCGATATACTCATCGCCTTGGCTGCCCCAAGCTGCTCCTATTCTATCCATGTAAAACACAAACATGTAAGGGGACAGCACACAGCCATGACGGAAACCAGTACCAGCGCTGAAAGATTTCGACGTAATGTCATTTACTCTGAATTAGCATCTGCTATCACAATTTAGTGACCGAATGGTCCAATGATACGCAGCAACTGACCACCGATCCCGTATGTTCGCAGAAATATCCGCAGATAGTTGCGTAGGATCCGATCACGGGGTTTCTTTAAGTCAGCAAAGTATGCATACACCGGATGGGCGAACTCCCACGATTTCTCAAAAATATGGCATAGGAAAAATACATGATCAAAGGTGCTTCAACCGGATCGGAAGCCATACTTCTGTCGTATCATAGAGTCAATCATTCCGCGGAACCCTTTTTCTTACATTTTTTCGTAGATCTTACTTTGGACTCAATAAGGTGATGTCCAGATAATTGGAACACTCCCGATGGCTTCCCTTGTTGAACAGGAGTAAAACAACCCCGTTTTACAGTCCGCTGGTGCGTTTCCAGTAGCAATTATAGTTTGACAGAAACGAGTAAGCCAGCACCTGACATGTTCGCCTAATATTTTGAGCATTTTAAGGCGGGTTTCATCAATTCCAGCAGTCTTTCCATTTTTCAAGCTTCTCACAGCTTGAATTTTATCTACACAGGTAGCAATATCAGTTACCTCATGTTACGCAGGCTAGTCTTCCTGCGGTTGCTCAAGTTTAAGGAGTTCCTCAAAGTATTCTCTCTATCGCCGTAGGATATCAGCATATTGAATATAAGGGTGTCTAGAATTGTCGTTCAAGACTCTGAGACTGCCCTTCTTTTCACCTCGAAGCCGACGGATGGCCTGCCAGAATATTTTGTTTGCCGTGTGTAAATTCGGCTCCAACACCTTACCGAACTTCTCCCAAGAATCAGCCTTTGCTTTTGCCATTGCTATTGCTGCCGCCTTGCGTATCGATATCGGTATCACGAATGGATATAAGGCTCTTTGTTTCCAAGCTATTTCTTGACTGCAGCTTTCTCCTTAATTGCCAGGTATACTTCTCGCATCCACCAGGAAGTTCCTTCCTGACCTCCAGGTAGCAGGCTAACCCAATTGAATCAGCATCATTAGGCGGCAGCCTCGAGTATGCTGATTTTGAAGAACTTCCACTCGGTTACCACATCGGTGGTCGTCACCGGAGTCTGTTGAAACTGTCGTGCGATGTTGTTTGCAAATTTCGCTCTCGTGTCCACCGAAGGCAATATTATCCATTTCCACCAGATCTTCGTATGGTACTCCATTTCTTACAACGCAGCGTGCCAACAACCAGGTAGTGATCGGTTGATAGCTCTGCGCCTCTTTTAATACGCACATGCATTACTGAGCGTCTTAAGTCAGACAATACGATTATCAAACCGATCATTGACTTCTGTGCGCTAGCTTCCCTGTACCAGGTGTACTGATGCACTCTTTGATGCTCGAAAAGTGTTCATAACAGACAGTTCGCCATATACACAAAACTGCAAGAATTTCATGTAATTATTGCTGAAGCCACAAGAGGTACTTTCCAATCAGCGCTTTACACTTTTCAGCGTCTACTCCGACATGCACAATAAAATCGCCCAAAAGTATGAGGGACTCCGTATTCGGCACTTCGCCCAGAGCACATTCGACTTCCTCAAGGAAGGAGACATGTTCTCCATATAAATTGGGCGCATAAAGCTGTACAAAGATCAACACTTAAGCCTGTGCAGCTTTAGTCGGAGGATTGCCAGCCTTCCGTTGGTAGGCTTTCAATCAATAATTCTATCAGGGAAGTTGGGTTCTGCCAGAATACGAACACCCCATAAGCACGCGTCGCGATGTCGACATCTGAGAAGAATGGCTTATACCCGCAGAGGTTTAGGATTCCACAGCCTTGGCGCCTCGTTGAGCAGAGTTCAAAAATATCGAGTTAGTACCTTGCGGCCTCATTAACTAACTCCTGTTCCTTCCCTCGGAGTAAGTATATATTCTAGTTTCCGTCTATAAGCTCCCACTGGGAGCCCTGTGTCGTGGGCCCTTTCTGATGTGCTATAATGGCATCGCACTATCTGCCTCCTCCGTTCAGAATGGGTAGCGGCTCCGTTGCCGACTGGCATCTTCGTCGTTGTTTCGTCAGCCGTTGTTGTGCTGCTTCGCCCCCGGCTGGCAGAAGGCGATGAGCAGGTTCTGATGGCCGACTTTTCGCAGTCTCCTCCAACAGCCTGCGCGGCCCTTGGTAACCCGGGCGACGACCGAGCCGGTATAATTTTCGATGACGTCATTACCATGAAGGGCAGACGGCTAAGTTTCACTGAGACTTCGCCACATTCCCCATCGCTCTTCCTTTCTTAATCGTGTTTGGGATCGGCAACGGTGGAGTTCTAGATTTCTTTTAATCTAATTTTCAGATTTGAATTTCCTCATTAGAATGTCCTGATCGAAATTCGGACCGACATTCTATTTTAGTCAGATGCTTACTTAATGACTTTAAAACGTTCTCCAATGGTAGTTGTTGCCCAGACTTTAGTTTTTCTTAACCAGTTTCACCAGTACATAAATCGTCGTTCTATATGGTCATGCCGTCTCCTTCTGCATTATTGTGGATTCGTCAGTTACATGCATAATTCATAATTGAATTACATGTTTGAACGTTCATAAAATCTTATATTTTTACAAACAAAAGAAGCATATGCAAACTATATGGCTATAAGTATAAAACAAGAAAAATTTATGATCAAAGCTGTCGCGGCCTGTCCATGGAATGGTTAAATGAACAGTATAAGAAATGGATAACCCTTAAATTCAACAATGAAACCATGAAAGGAGATAGGTTCTAAGCCTGAATCTGCAAGTAAATTGGCAGGTCCGGCACTTAAAACTTGCGGCTCGATGAATGAATCGGATCAATAAGATGCTTTTTCTTAAGGGAGGTACTCTACCCTCTTTTCCTTGGGCCTGGGATTAATCAAAGAGGAAGTATTTTTATAACCTGATAAAATGAGCTCGTTTGTAGTGAATCTCGCTTGTGGCTAATTTATCATACTCTTGCTGTCCCATTACCAAGTGCAAGAGCATTGAAGGACTCTGCTCTAGACTCAGGATGTCTTCTATCGAAACTCAGACAATGGCAAAAGACTGGGAACGTTGGAGACAATGTCAGATGCGTCCACCTCCGTGATCCGAAAGGAGAAACAGTTACGGAAATTAAATTGAGACCGTCTGAAAATAGTCAGAAAAGAACTATCAGGAGAACTAGAATCATTATCACATTTAACACGAAGATGTGAATAATGTGATGTACAGATTCACTGTTTATTTGCCTACACGGCATTTAAGAAACCCACCAAGAATCTTTCATAATAATCGGCTGCTCGTTATTAGAAAAGTCTTCCCTTGATCATAGCAACACCAAAGGTAATCTACTAGCGAGTCGATCTTCCAGGTTGCGAGGCAGAAACTTCAAACGGCATCATAAATAGCCCATCAATTTTCATCAAGCAAGTTTCATGAATTGAATTCCATGAACAATGAGAGGTCAAATTGAATTAACTGGACTTAGGTCAGCAGTGTGATAGCTTGCTACAAAGTTACGAACAGAATTCATCTTGCGAACTTCTCCGTCGCTATCCTAACATGTCGAAATTTACGATTCTGGTCTCATTATTTGGGGAACATACTCATAAATGAGGGCATCCGAGATTACAGTAATCTAATTAATTTTCGACATTGATGACCATAGGACTGAAAATCGACTTCAATACAAACAGTATCATATTATCAGCTTTCTTCATTTTCGCTCTCATAATTGTCGCGTTAGCTTTAACAACTCTTTATCCATTGCCACGAACTGGCTGTTATCATCAAGGAATGCTTCCTTACCATATCTAACAATCTCCATCTGACTCAACTGCATTCATCTTACCTAGAGTGACAGTCTTTTCTCGAGATGCGAAATGAAGTATGATCAGCATAATTATGCAAAACACTTCAACGTTATACAAAATAAAATAAACCAGATGGTTTATTAAACACATAGTCATAGTCTGTAAGTTATGAGAACGATTCCTCAATATTCGACGTTTCAGTCAATAATTTGGATTTTTAGGTTACAAAGAACCGTTAGTAATATTTGTCTTTCTGTGCTGTTGAAACACGACCTTCTTACAAAATGGTGGCATCGAACTCAATTTTTAATCAAGTTCAAATCTGGATGGCATATCCTAAAATTGGTGATCAAACAATAAACGGAAGCAACAAACACTGGCAGAAGAAACAACACTCAGAAAGAAAGAGTTTATTCGAGATTAATGACAGACAGAACCTAGCAAACCAACGTGCATGACTCCTTCTAATTCGCGACCATCTTACATTATGAACACAGCAGCTGTACAGACTCGTTCGAAATCGATTCCATCCTTGAAAGAGATTACACAAACATAGCATGAACTGCAACTGCTAGACACACAAAAACACTATTGCATCATCGAAATCCATTACCGACAAAAAATTGAACTGAAAATATTGTTAACGCTGAGAGAAACATAAATAGCAAGGACATAATTAATTGCAGGTCAAATATTACATCTAGATCAGTTAAAGAAGTTTAACCTGAACATCCGAATCCCGACAGACTGACTAACTTTCAGATGAAGAACAACTACAGAGCACATGGAATATCCAGAGAACGTACACTTTTAACTTCAAATACCCACATCACATCACACTTCTGATATTTTGACGAAAGTCTTGCAAATTGGGACAATACCACCGTCTTCTAGGAACAACACATAAAAATAAAATACAAAGAATACGAAAATAAATCTTATTTCAAATACTGATAACAGATTTCTTGAAAATCGTACATGATTTCTTTATGCGGGAGGTGATATAATCCTTAGGTAAGTCATAAACGGAAAGACAACGCATAAAATAGTCTTTAATTAGGGACAGCTGACGTTTCGGACCAAGTTTGGTCTTCCCGTTGTTACTTACCTAACACATTTCTTACCAGAATTGTTGAAAATAAATCTCACAATTATAATAATCACACAGTCAACTTAATAACACAACACTTTAAGGAACAACTAAATATTTTTTAGTCTCTAATCGCGGATAATCAAATTAATCTTACGCAGTGATAATATGACCCAAGATGAGTCAAAACCGTATAAGACAAAACACGAGGAGACGTTCTGGAAAACCAAAACCTTCAAAGAAGCACTTCTAGAGTCATAGAGAATTAAGAATCAATAGATCAATGAGCATCTAATCATATGCAATATGCTGATTAATGACTGAGGATGGCATTAAACGATGCAGATGTCTACACTTTATTATCAACGCGTATCGTTATGCATGCCATAACATTATCAGGGCACAACCGAGCATCTTATGGCACTGATCAATTGTACCCCGATGATGCTACACCTTGAACAGCGAAACGCGTTGGTAATAAAGTGCTAAATCTACGTTGTTCGGTGCTTCAACTTTGAATCGTCAAATCAGGTGCAATTTCAGCAAACGAGATTAGCGAAACGGAAATATCATGTCACACTGATGATGTGAGCAGTCTTTCAAGTACCTCTGATCTTGAATGATAAAGCATACAGTTTGAAAAATTTGAAATGCACAGAACTAGATACTATCAGCTTGAATACATGAACAAACCGAATGAAATCCAAAAAATTCAGAAAAGATTAATTACCGCAAACGCCGTCCGTCATCGTTAGTGAGGGGTCTTCAAGACGACTATCAACAGCACTGCAACATGTATTAGGGTCTGTTTTATCAACCGCAACTTGCAGAGTA